ATATACTTCAGGGGAGCGGGTGTCCTCTACCTGGGTATTTATACATTTTTTCCTCCAGAGAGCCTCAAAGCAGCGCCTGCAGGGTTAGGAGCCTCCCGCATGACAACTGGTTGCTTTACAGGGTTTTGGAACCCTGGACTTAAGTCAAGTTTGAACTAATCCCTTTGCTGTGCCACAGGGGGACCATGAGTGTCGCCCCTAAACTCGAGGCTCCAGACCTTTGCTGCAGTAAAGGCAGGGGTAGCAGCAGAGGGCCTGAAGGGCCCCTGGGGTTAGGAGTGTGGACTCAGCCCATCAGCTACTGGCTGCCCTTCACTCTCCTCTTTCTCTAACTCAATGACTGCTATTTCACGAGTGACCACCCAGTGGGCCCCCCTCTTGCACAGGACAGAGTCCTCTCTGCCACCCCACCCTCTGTCACAGCGTCACCCTAACACATCAGCCGGGGACCACCTGAAGGAGGGCCTCAATCTAACACTCCTGCTCTCACATGCCTAGGGCTTCTGTAAACTGCCGACTCTGGCCGGCCGAACACAGAACTGAGGCTTGGGAGGGTCACACATGCGACACGGGGCAGTACAGGTCACAGCACGAGCTCCCCAGCCCCGAGCGCCCGCGGAACATACCGCCATCAAGCATCAGAGCAGCTGAGCAAGTCAGAGCAAGAGAAGCAGACCCACAGCATAGCAGTCACGCCTGGACGTGGCTCACGGTGCCAGTAATTATGGTCACCGGCAGAGACGTGGTGCCCATGTTGAGACTGAGGTCAGTGTGGCACGGGGACACACATACACATATGTGTGGAAAAGGTTTACAAATCACATAATGAAGGTCTCTGGGGAGGGCAGGGCTGGCCCCTCAAGCAGCTACGATAAGGCTTCAGAAAGCAATGAAAAGAGCCTGGTCTGGGGTTCATTGTGGCTGGGGGCTGGGGCTGGGGCAAGAATTCTTGCCCAGGGGCAGGGGCCTGTGTGATCTTAATTTCTTGCCATCTCTAGAGGAGATACCACTCAGACTTTCTCATCAGCTTGACCAAGCGGGAGGCATAAGAGAAAGAGGGAGGGAGGAGGTTTAAACTGTGAGCAAACATCCAAAATATGGACCTGATTGCTCATACAAGGAGAAAATCGTGGTTAAGAAAAACATGCATTTGCAAGTGCTTGTTTTCATATAAAGAAACACTAATAGGATGCTCAAGAAATGACCAATACTCATTTTGGGGGGTGCCTGAAGCAAGAGCTCTGGAGTAGACCAGGCTGTTCTGACACTGAGTCTCTTTAGACTGTATTTTACATATTTTTGCTAACCCTTGCATAATTATTTAAGGTAAATAGTAATATATATAAACCACATTTTTTCTTTTTAATAGCCTTTATTTTGAATGACCTTATTTTGCTTTAAAGATTTAATGAAAAAATTTTTTTCTATATAGGAAACCGTTCTAAGATTTCATCCTCGAAACATGAATACTTAAGGGATACGTGGGTGGCTCGGTCGGCTGAGTGTCCAGCTCTTGATTTTGGCTCAAGTCATGAACTCCAGGTTGTGGGATTGAGCCCTGTGTTGGGCTCCATCCTCAGCAGGGAGTCTGTTTGAGATTTTCTCTCTCTCTCTCTCTCTCTCTCTTTCTCTCTCTCCCACTGTCCCTCCCCCTGCTCGTGTGTGTGCTCTCTCTAAAATAAATAAATTAAGGGGCGCCTGGGTGGCTCAGTCGGTTAAGCATCTGCCTTCGGCTCAGGTCATGATCCCAGGGTCCTGGGATCGAGCCCTACATCGGGCTCCCTGCTCCACGGGAAGCCTGCTTCTCCCTCTTCCACTCCCCCTGCTTGTGTTCCCTCTCTCGCTGTGTCTCTCTCTGTCAAATAAATAAATAAAATCTTAAAAAAATAATAAAATAAATAAATTAAAAAAGAACACTTTTAAAAGTTTAAGCCAAAAACCCAAAAAATTCAAATCTTTTTGCATAACAAAAGGCAGCATAGTTTCTCCTTATTAACTCTTACTGGGGTTTAAGATTAAGTAGCATATTATATAATACACTAGGGATTTGGCCTTCATCCATTAAATGTATTAGAATTATCAAAGATTTGGGCGCCTGGGTGGCTCAGTTGGTTAAGCAACTGCCTTCGGCTCAGGTCATGATCCTGGAGTCCTGGGATCGAGTCCCGCGTCAGGCTCCCTGCTTGGCGGGGAGTCTGCTTCTCCCTCTGACCCTCCTCCCTCTCATGCTCTCTGTCTCTCATTCTCTCTCAAATAAATAAATAAAATCTTTAAAAAAAAAGAATTATCAAAGATTTATGCAAGTTTTGAGTATTTTTCCTTATATCACTTAAAAGAGGAATTAATTTGCCTTAAACTTGAACAATATTATAGCACTCAAATTTCCAAAGCTCTCTCTACACAAAAAAACCTGACCTAAAATGTAAAATCTACCTGAGAACCTCAAATATCCCCATCTCACATCCTGAGAATCTTCTGCCTAAAGGGAACAAATACTGTTTGGTACCAGGACTCTTTGCATTACTTCCATTGTATCTTTAAATCGAACTATATTTTCAAAGTCTAAGAACTAAAAATTTCATGCTCTTACAAAGAAAACAGAATCACAAATGGCTAAGGGAAGCTACCTAAAGTTAAGAGCTGCAATATACAATATACAAACATACAAGGAAAGAAATGCAAATATTGGAATCAGGTGAGATAAGCAGCATGCCTCCCCACAGTTCAGAAGGAAAACTCATATTCCCAGCTTGTGGTCCAGACTGCACTTGTTGGGATATAACCCCTGAGTCAGGGCGGAGGTTTGGGGGTGGGGGGAGACCCGAGCAGCCATAGGAATGAAGTCTAGAAGCTTCGTACACACCATTCTTGGGGCATAATGGAAACATTCCTCTCTCAGGGTTCAATTCTCACAAGTTAGGAAACTTTTGGCCAGATTCAATGTAAGGATCTGACTCAAAGTAACTCCCCAGTTCACAAACTTTTTGTCCAGAAGACCTACCCCCAGACCTTCACAGACTTTCTCAATGTACAAAAATTACTGAGTGCACCTACACTGTAGATGAAAAGCTCAAGCCTATGTCTAGAAACAGGCCCAAGGAAACCACAATTACCACCTCAGAAAGAGCAGCACTGCCCTGCCTTCTAATCCCATCCCCCATGTACACAGGCATCCCCAGCTTTCCTTGGCTCTGTAGCTTCTCTCAGCTCCTTCTGTAGTGTCTGAGCATGTAGGACACCTGCAGGGGGAGCCTCTCCAGGAAGAACCAAGTGGGCTTTCAAGCACTTCCCTTCACAGGCTCAAAGCGGGGGCCTTACCTTAGAAACACTGACCTCAGGCTTCTGCTTCCTACCAAGTTGCTCTGAAGCACCACTAATATTTTTAAAATGATAAGCCCAGTGTTTGGACAAAATCACCAAATCCAGTGTTTAAGTGTAAGGGAGGAAGGAAAATTGTGAAGATTCTTCTAGTTCAACAAAAAAACACACAAATATCTACTCCTTTCAAAAAATATGTCAGTTAGGGGCGCCTGGGTGGCTCAGTCGTTAAGCGTTTGCCTTCAGCTCAGATCATGATCCCAGAGTCCTGGGATCGAGCCCTGCATCGGGCTCTCTGCTTGGTAGGAAGCCTGCTTCCTCCCTCTCCTTCTCCCCCTGCTTGTGTTCCCTCTCTCGCTATGTCTCTGTCAAATAAATAAACTCTTAAAAAAATAAAAATGTCAGTTAATTATTATTTCCATGGCAAGAAACTGTTTGGAAACAATCATAATTGAACACAATTCTAGGGGCGCCTGCGTGGCTCAGTCGTTAAGCGTCTGCCTTCGGCTCAGGTCATGGTCCCAGGGTCCTCGGATCGAGTCCCGCATCGGGCTCCCTGCTCAACGGGAAGCCTGCTTCTCCCTCTCCCCACTGCTTGTGTTCCCTCTCTTGCTGTCTCTCTCTGTCAAATAAATTTAAAAAATCTTAAAAAAAAAAACAAAACACTTCTAGGTATTACAAGTCTAAGTCCTGATACTGCATTTCCAAATCACCTAAAAGGACAAATCTGTGGACGTTACTACATACACTCATGGGAAGAAAAAAAGGAAAGAAAAATTTTAATAAATGTAATAATGGAATTTTTTTTCCCCTGAAATTCACCCCTTTCTTGCCTCTTTGTAAAATTTTATACTTTGGAGATCTACTGGTTAAATACATTTTAACTGAAAAAGCAGGCTTAAAAGAAGTTGAATAAAGTCACAAACTCAGGTAGGGGCAATACTGACAGGAGACAACACTCAGGGAAGTCTCCAAAGAGGAACCGCCACCCAAAGGACTTCCCATAGGATGTCGGTGCCCAGGGAGGAGAGGCAAAGGGATTTCACGCGACATATTCCAGGTAAGTTATTCTTGGCTCTCCTCTTATGTAAAATATCCACAGGCCAAAAAATAAATCTTTCAAAAGAGCCATTCATGGCTCTGTGGATAAATGATAAAATACTGCGTAATTTGAAATGCATCATGGAGAACAAATAGTTAATAATGATGTTATGAACTGGAGAGGAAAGATGGCGTTTCGGAATGCAGGGAAAGATCTGGAAATTTAGGCATTTATTGCCAGTCCTGTGAAGAGCTAGGCAGGGGCCACAGGGTCGCGGCTTTGAGACCCTACTCCCCAAACGTTTGGAAAAGTGAGGAGAAAGCGGGTGCCCCGGGGAGAGGGATGGGGACCCCACAGACCACAGCATCTCGCGCGCACGAACCCGGGAGACCGAGGCAGGACTGTCCCCTGGTGACCCGCCCCGTGGTCATCGCCCAACCCAAGGGAGACGCGGCCGCGCAGGGACAGGACAGGACAGGACGCCGGCGGTCCCGGCAGCCGGCCCGGCCCCGCGCTGCGTGCCGCGCCACCGGCGGCCTCGGGTCCGCAGAGTTCACGGCGGGGAGGCCAGGTCCCGCCACGGCCGGTTCCAGCCGGCCCCGCCGCGCCCCTTTCCCGACTCCCGGCCCCGCACACTCACCATTGCTCGCTTTCTGGGGTGGCGGGTCGAGCCACCATACGACTGCCGTGGCCGGCGGAGGCCACGGCCACAGAGGATGTGGCGGAAGCTCCCGAAGCCTCTCCGGACAGCGAGAGGGGACGCGAACCTCGGCCGGACAGCAGCGACGGCACACAGTCCCCGCCGTCCACAGCGCGTCGCCCGCACGTACGGTTCCGGCGACTCCCCTGATTGGACAGTTCGCACGGCCCCGCCCCCGCCCGCCTGAGTGACAGCAGGCCGGGGGTCACGTCTTTGAGCCGACCTTGCTTGGGCAGTGGCTGCGACCTGTTCTCGCCGAGGTCCGTGACCCTTCTTCACAAACACGGACAAAGGTGACCTCACCGAGGGTCATGATGTCATGATGTCTGGACGGTCCTAGACCAGCCCAGAAGCCTCCGGGGCTCGCATGTGAGAAACAGACGGAGGCAAAAAACCACTGGAAAACCTTTCAGTGTAATCCCATTGATACTTACCTGTTCAAAGGCTGGAGGAGGAAAGCTGAAAGAACTCTGCTTAGTGAAAAATGATAGATGGTAAAGGTGTCGAGGATAAACAAAGTATCAGGACAGTGGTCATCTATGGGGCAGGACAGAGGTGAGCCAGGGAGCAGAACATGAGGAGACCCTGCCTACTTCCCACAGTTAGGAATCTTGATGATGACTTCAAGGATGTTTATATTATTAGCAAATCCTACTGCAAAACATTTTCTACATTCTTTCCTCAATATATTTAATGATAAACAATTTTAAGAAGTAATTAAGGTTGAAAAAGAATTGAATTTGTATGTTTGTTTCTTCTGTAATGTGGCAATGTGAGTCTTCATTCTCAGCTTTGGCAGAAAAACTGGTAAACAAGCCAACTGTCTTTAGAAAGAATGAGTTACATAAACTCATCATCACATGTACTTAAAAAAACCAAAGGTGGGGCGCCTGGGTGGCTCAGTTGGTTAAACGACTGCCTTCGGCTCAGGTCATGATCCTGGAGTCCTGGGATCGAGTCCCGCATCGGGCTACCTGCTCAGCAGGGAGTCTGCTTCTCCCTCTCCCACTCCCCCCTCTTGTGCTCTTTCTCTCTCTCACTCTCTCTCTCTCAAATAAATAAATAAAAAAATCTTAAAAAAACAAACAAACAAAAAACCCCCAAAGGTATTGATATGAAAAGATCTGGAGCATTTATCAATAGAACAAATAAGTATATTGCAATATATATACCATGTTACCTTTTCTGTAGCCCGTAGAGATAGGTGGTTCCCCACCATCCCTCCCCCCAAGGTTTGGTTGAGAAGTGGAGACTAAAACACACCTACTAGGAATATACGAAAGGGTTGATTACTTTCACAATGGACGTTTCTGGGGAGGACAAGGCAGGCCTCTCAAGCAGGTGGAAATGCCTTGACAAAGCAAGGATGGGAGACTGATGTGTATTTTTATTGAGGTTGGTTGGAGGGTGGCTAGGGTGAGAGTTTGTGCACATGGGTAGGGACTTCTGTGATTGACTCTCTTGCCAGGGTCAAAGCTGAGCACCCAGGCTTTCTTATCACCTTGCACAGATGTGGAGCACAAAGGGAAGAGGGAGAGATAAGACTTTAAAGTAGTCAGCTGTCAGATAATAGAAAATATATACACATACTGCTCTCTGTCCCAAATTCCTGGCACTTGTAAATTCCTAGAGATAAGAGCACTAGGAGCCAGTCTTGTTCTAATATTTGGTCTTTGACTCCGTCCCTGACACAGGTCTCCTGAAACCATGTAAATTCCTAGGTGATAAAAGCACTAGAAGCATCTTTTGTTCTAAGGAGGTGACTCTGGGTGGGCTCCTGGATGGGGGCTGGTCATCAGAAAGTCCAAGCCACGCTTAGAAACTTGGAATTTTTAGCTCATCCGCCCATTTTCCTGAGAGGGGGAGGAGCTAGAAATGGGGTTAATAATTGATCATGTCTAGGGAGGGGTGCCTGGGTGGCTCATTCGGTTAAACATCTGACTCTTGATTTCAGCTCAGGTCATAATCTCAGGGTCCTGGGATCAAGCCCCGATTGGGCTCCATGCTCAGCAGGGAGTCTGCTTGAGGATTCTCTCTCCCTCTGCCCCTCCCTCGCTTCTCTCTTTCTAAAATAAAGTCAATCTTTTAAAAAAATGATCATTCTACATTACTAAGCCTCCGTAAAATCCCAATAGTATGCTGTTTGGAGACTTTGCAGGTTGGGGAACACATCCATGTACCAGGAGGGTGGCATACCCCAACTCCATAGGGGCCCTCCAAGAACTCTCTCTACATATGTTTTCATCTGGCTGTTCATCTGTATTCCTTATCATATCCTTCAATAAACTGCTAACTGTAAGTAAGTGTTTCCCTGAGTTCTGAAACCTGTTCTAATAAATAAATCGAACCTAAGGAAGGGATTGTGAGAACCTCTGATTTGTGGCAAGTCAAACGGAAGTTGTGAGTAACCTTGTTGGCACCTACTACATGTGATTGGTGTCTGAAGTGGGGTAGGAGGGATCTTGTGGGACTGAGCCCTTAACCTGTAGGATCTACACTATCTACAGGTAGATAATGTTAGGACTGAGTTAAATTATAGGACACCCTGCTGGTGTCACAATTGTGGGGGAAAAACCCTCACACATTTGGTGACCAGAACTGTCAGAAGTAAAGTGTTCTGGGTGAATATAAAGGAGATATATAGAAGAAAAGAACTGGGTTTTCTCTACTCAGGAATAATATTGGATTTTCTTGACATATCAACAGTCAAATATTTAAAAATGGAGTCAGAGACTTCTGGTTTCTTCCCTGGCATGGAAGGAGTTAGAAGGTGACATTTCTATCCTTACCAGAAAAAGCAAGCAAATTTAAATCAATTATTCTTCTTAAATCTATCAAAGAATTGAGGTCACAGTACAAACTGCTGTCTCCAAAATTGGAGACATAGAATAATAGAATAATAGCCAATCTGAAATATTCCTACAATATTTTGTTCTTCTTAACAAGACCTGTCCTCAAAAGATTGTTTCTCAAGAATTGCATGGGGGCAGGAAGGGAAATAGCCAACTTGAGCCCCTCCAGCCTTTCTGCCTGACCTAAGTTGAGGGTGTGGGGGAACTTAGATACACTTGTGAGATTCACAGGTCATTTTTCACTGCTCACAGTCAATGTGTTGTGTTTTCCAAAACCATTTCTCCGACTCTCCAACACCAACTGGGTGGCCTACAGTTCAATTCTAACATTAACCAGAGGTAACACCAGACTCTACAGTTTAAGGGCACAATCCCACAAAATGGCACCCCCGTGTCAGATGCCAGCTGTAGATGGGAAGCCCAGGCCTTGGAGGTTCCCTAGAAACACTCCCGTGTTTGTTAATTCAGTAAAAACACTATTAGAACTAATAAAAGCTCTTTACTTATTATTATTGATTTATTATAAAAGGTATAAGTCAGAAACAGCCAAATGGAAGGGGCGTATAAGACAAAGTAGGTGGGGGAGATAGGGAACCTCCATGCCTTCACCAGATACAACACCCTCCTGCCACACTGAGGTCTTCACCAACTTAGAATCTCTCTGAATCCTGAGGTTTAGGAATTTTGATGGAGTTTCCTTACATAGACAGGCATGACTGATGAAATCATTGGTGGTTGGTGAATAACTCAATCTCTAGCTCCTTCCCACACTCCCCAGAGGTTGGGGGCTGGGGTGAAAGTTCTAAGCCTCTAATCAAATCTTGGTCTTCCTGGTGACCAACCCCAATCCTGAAGCTATCTAGGGGCTTACAAAAAGTCACCTCTTTGAATATAAGATGCTTCTATCACCTTTCTCATTCAAAAAGTCCAAGGAGGGGCGCCTGGGTGGCTCAGTCAGTTAAGCATCTGCCTTCAGCTCAGGTCATGATCCCAGGATCCTAGGATCGAGCCCCACATCAGGCTCTCTGCTCAGTGGGGAGCCTGCTTCTCCCTCTCCCTCTGCCTGCTGCTCCCCCTGCTTGTGCTCTGTCTCTGTCAAATAAATAAATAAAATCTTAAAAAAAAAAAAAAAAAGTCCAAGGACTTGGGTGGTCTTTACTAGGAACTATGGACAAAAAACAGACATTTGTGGGGAGTGCCTGGCTGGCTCAGTTGGTGGAGCACGTGACTCTTGATCTTGGGGCCGTAAGTTCAAGCCCCACATTGGGTATGGAGCCTACTTAAAAAAATTTTTTTAGGGCACCTGGGTGGCTCAGTCGTTAAGCATCTGCCTTCGGCTCAGGTCATGATCCCAGGATCCTGGGATGGAGTCCCACATCGGGCTCCCTGCTCGGCGGGAAGCCTGCTTCTCCCTCCCCCACTCCCCCTGCTTATGTTCCCTCTCTCGCTGTGTCTCTCTCTGTCAAATAAATAAATAAAATCTTTAAAAAAAAATTTTTTTTAAAAACCATTTTTTTATTATATCAAAGGTCACAGCTCAGAGACACATGCTCATTAAAATACTGAGACCAAATCAAGACTATAGAACACTTCCTCTCCATCCACAACATTCCATTACATCAGGATGACCCCCATTTAATAACAGTGGAATAAACTGAAAGAAATATACATTTCATACTTATTTTGAGAAGTCTCTATAGTACCCCCCAAAATGACATGGATGACAAAAGCAAGGATGCCTGAGGATATTTTAGCCTTTGACAGCTGCAGATAGTAAACATACCCTAAACCCTAATCAGATAAACATGAACCCTCAAGCTAAGGACCTATTTACCTCAGTTCTTTTTTCACAGTACATCATGACTGGCATTCAACATCAACAACAAAAATATTAAAATACACAGTTTAAAGAAATAATACAAGTAAAAGCACTTGATTCAGATGTAGCAAATATGTTGCAATTATTAGACAAGAGATGTAAAGCAACCATGATTAATATGCTAAGCACTTTAATGGAAATAGTGGATAATGTGCAAAAACAGAGAGGTAGGTACTTTACTCAGAGATGGAAACTAAGAACGAAAAGAAATATGCAAAAAATGAAAAAACAAAATAGAAGAAAAATGAAGAATTCCTTTGGGGGCCTCATCAATACAGTGAAAATATGTGATGAAAGATTCAGTGAGCTTGAGGAAAGGTCAATAGAAACTTCCAAAACTAAAATGCAAAGAGAATAGACAAAAAAGGCAAAACAAATCTAAGAAATTGGGGACAATTACATAAAGTGTAACATAACATAATTGGACAACATGAAGAAAGGAACAGGAGATGTAAGTGAAACAATAATGACTGAGATATTCCCAAATTAATGTTAGACACCAAACTATAGATCCAGGAAGCTCAGAGATCACCAAAGAAGATAAAAGCCTAAAAATGCACACCTAGAAAT